AAGCACACAGATTAATACATCCCCCTCTACTCCTTCAAAGTACGCAGCCTTCTACAGGCGTTACCAATATGTATAATACACCTTAAAGAACGCAGCCTGCTACAGGCGTTACCAATACACAATACATTCGAGAGAACACAGCCTGCTACAGGCGTTACCAATACGCATAATACATCCTAGAGAACGCAGCCTTCTACAGGCGTTACCAATAAACAATACATACGAGAGAACGCAGCCTTCTACAGGCGTTACCAATAAACAATACATACGAAAGAACGCAGCCTTCTACAGGCGTTACCAATAAACAATACATACGAGAGAATGCAGCCTGCTACAGGCGTTACAAATGGAGGCCTAATACCCCTAATACACCCAACATGTCAGGGATATAAAGGAGCATGGAGGGAGAGGAGGAGAGAGGTGTGGCGACAAGCTTAACAAAGTAGAGCGAAGGTTTCAGATCCCCAAAAGGAGCTCTAGTTTCAGCAACCCCTTCTACCGCCTAGAGTGTGGCACCCTTAGGCGTACGAGGTGAACCCCACATGTGTGGCACTACTCGCAAGCACCTTGTGCGAGACGAGCGGAGACACTCCTCAACCCTGGCAGATATCCATCAAGCTTCCAGAGGGACGAGGCTCCCTTAGGCGCGCCAAAGGCACCACTACCCGCACTCACGCATTGCGAGACGAACGTAATGCCCCTCGCGAGGAGCGGGCGGAGACGCTCCTCGACCGTGTCAGATATCCGTCAAGCTGCGCAGAGCCAAGGTTCCCTTTGCCGCACGGCCACCTGTATTGCCATGACCCACACCCACGCATGGTGAGGTGCAGAAGGAGACGCCACGCCCCGGGCAAGTGTCCATGAGCCGCCAAGGTCAGCCCATCCCCAGGTGAACCCTCTAACCAACGCCCGCATCTGCGCTACCCGTCAGTCAAGCCACGGAGTAGTAGTAGTAGTAGTAGTAGTAGTAGTAGTAGTAGTAGTAGTAGTAGTAGTAGTAGGAGGAGGAGGAGGAGAAAAGGATGGACACAGTACGCCAATACAGAATTACTCACCTAATAAATCCTGGGCGAGAACGCAGCAGCTACTGTAAAACAAGGAAAAAGGATGGCGTTAAATAGTGGCACCCTAGGAGGAGGATAATCAACCTACCCCATGAATACTGAAAATAATGAACGCAAAAGGAGAGACATCCTTCAGAACGAAAGCTGACAAGTAACAGAATTGGCAAGCCCTTTTCAAGATTCAAGAGACAGCAATTTATTTGGGGTTTCAATATAGAAAACTATAAAAAGTAAATGCATACACACAAAGAAAAAAAAATGACAGTTTTAATTTATTTCTTATTCGATATTATTAAATCAACACGAAGTATCAGTTTGATTATAGAAAACTTGAATGATAAGAACTTTTAACTGAATTTGAACAATGTTGCCAATGTAACCTCAATCATTCGACCGGATTAAATCTTTTGAACTAACCGGGTTATATGAAGCCTTGCTTATCTTCCAGGAATTTATATAATATGCATACCGAAATCTGAACAATGTTCTTGCTCTGTAAGCAAATACACAGCTGCCTGCACTTCTCCCTACTACACCCCATTTCCGGTAAAGAGTAATAATTTGCATTGTTTAAATAACGGTCCTAACCTACGGCTTGAATGGTCTGTAACAAACCTCAGAAACATAGTTCAACGAATAGGGATTCCCCTTTTATTCATGAATGCTGTAACAATGTCTATGTAAAGAAATAACACTGAGCTACATAAGCAATAATCTAATAATAATCTAATGCTTTGGCGGGTTATACTTTATGGGCAGTTGGAGACTGCTGAGGACTGTTGTTTGAAATTTCAGTAAACGTCCTTATATACTTTGAAATGAGTTACAAAGAGGTTGGCGTAGAACATTAAGAAAAATAAGCTGTTGCAAATCGTTTTACTTTAATAAGCTATATTCCTGAGTACCTACAGCGACTCACAAACACAAAAGAATACTCAACTCGTGTTCCATGATTGTTGGTAAGGTACCCCCCCCCCCCCCAATTGGCAATGCATTACTGAATTGATGGTTTTCGAGGTGATTGTTGGAAGGCTGTACGATCAAGTGTATATATCACTTACGATAATTATGCTATATGAGGTTTTGAAGTGACTTTTTTTTTTTTTTTTACTCATCATGTATGTAGTTTCACTTCCAATACATTTAAAATGGGGAAAATGCTGCTGGGAATACACGTGTAGTTTAACAACGATAGCTTGCTTTTTAAAACTATTACCAAACAAGGATTTATCAATTTACAACTCACGACAATACACTTGGGAGGGAGAGAAATATATATAAATACATTTTCATGCCTGACACACTATAACGGCCATCCTTTTCCATGCTTATTTCAGTCTTCTTAACTTTTCATTTTATACCACGACTTTACTTTAACCTTCAATTTCTTCAAATACTAATATGTAATCAGTAAATGGGTAGCACGCATAATTCCG